ATGGGATGATGGTGGGAAAATGAGTTAGGTGGTAGTGTATGATGTCTTTAAAAAAGGAAAAATAAAACCAGTACCATAGTATTACTCCTGTTTTTACAGAAAATTCATATAATTTTGTCAACTTTCAAAAAGTGTATTTATATTATTTCCTGAGAAGTAGAGGAAAGAGACAAACAGGCAGCCTACACAGGATCTCCACACAGCGATCTCCCTCCCCCAGCCCTGCAGCCAGCCAGGGTGAAGATGTGCCCGCTGGCATGCCTAGCACCTTCAGGTAGACTCGGAACCAAACCCAGAACCTTCCCGTGTGGCTTCAAGCATTGCACAGAAGTGCCCCTACTGCCTCTGTCACTGTGGCTGGGCCTTGTCCTGCCAATTTACTAAGAACTTTTTATGTAGCCGTAGTCATTTATTTTCTTTTTTAAGAGAGCAGACAGAAAGTGAGAAATCATCCCATGGGGATGGCCACACTGCAGTCCCTTCTCTACCTCTTGGGATTTTGGACCCGCACGCACGCACATGTGCCGGGCGTGAGGTTTTTTTTTTTTTGAGAGGTTTTTGCTATAGGGCGCATGCGCTCGCCCGACAGACAGAGAGTCAGAGAGAGAGAAAGCAAGAAATCCACCCCTGCCTGGCATGAGTTTTAAGCTGTCGAGCTCAGGACTCGAATTGTGGTCAATTACTTGGGAATCCAGTGTCATAACCATTATGCCAGCTGCTGGTCTGTGAAGTCATAGTCATTTCCATAAGTGCTTAAGAAATTAGATTATGGGGCCAGCAGTTAGCGTAATGGCTATGTTGCTGGACTCCCATGTAGTCGACTGGTTTGAGTCCTGGACCCGTTGGCTTAAATTTACACTGGGCACGTATGTATGTGTGCCCAAGATCCCGAGAGGAGAATCAAGGAGAAGAGATTGCAGCGTGGCCATCCCCCCTGGGGGGACGATTTCTCGCTTTCTGTCTCTGTCTCTCTGGCGAGCACATGTGCCCTATAGCAAAAATCTCTCAAAAAAAAAAAAAAAAGAAATTAGTTTATAATTGGTTTCTTTTTTGCATTTTGGGAAGCAGCAGTTTGACAGGGCAAGAGTTTTCTTTCTGGGAAAGTGGGAGATGGGAAAGGGTGGAAATAGAGGTTGGAGAGGGGGTGACCATATGCTTTGGCTCTGACATTGTCCCCTTGGGAAAACCAAGGTGGTGGCCAAGAGCAGGGACCTTGTGGATAAAAATAACTGCTACTTTGAGACTTGAAACTTTAGAATTTTATCAAACTCCTTGTTGAAAGGGATAGGATGTACTAGAGAGGGAGGGATCCAGGTTGCCTCATTCTAGGATCTTTGTTTCTGCTTAGGCCACATCATAGCTATAAATAAATACATAAACAAAATAAGGGTCTTAGAAAGTTGTTTCATTGTTATATCCTGGGTAGAGAGTGAACAATGTCTGCACCTAGGAGATTAGAATTAGAATTTGAATGGTGCTTTAAACTTTGTTGGGGAGTGTGCTGAACCATTGCATTTGTTCTCAAAAAATGAAGTTATTACTGCACGTGGAAGATTGGACGAAGCTACCTTAGAGGGAAGGAATAATAAATGCCGTTTGTCTTTGTGCTCAATACTTTTGACTATAGCCTCTACGACTCCATGTGGAGTAGCAACATTCACATTTGATAAAGGTAATCTCTCTAGCAGTGGGACCTGGGCAGTACTCTCTGGCCGTCCTTTAGCGTGTATAGTGGTCCATTGGTATGCGCAGCAGACTGGCTTCAGGACCCTGTGGGTACCAAAGTTTGTGGGTGCTCAGCTCTCTTATAGACAATTATATGTTTTCATGTAACCTACACACATCCTCCTGTATGTTTTAAAGCCCCTCTAGATCACTTGTAACTCCTAATACCGCGCAAATGCTGTGTAAATAGTTGTTACACTGTACCGTTTAGGGAATAATGACAAGGAGAAAAGCCTGTTCATTTTTAGTACAGCTGCAACTATCCATTCCCCCCCCCCCTTTTTTTTGATTCTTGATTTGTGGTTGTTGCAATCTGTGAATGTGGAACCTGGGAATGCGGATCCTGTGGAAATGGAGGGCTGTCTATTCATTTCATAATACTCCAAAGGTTTTGTTGAAAACAAAAAGGGCGTGGCTGTGGAGCTCTGGGCACAGTGGTGAGAGGCCCAGTGTCATGGGCTGGGTTCGGTTTTGAATTTCTTTGGCCTTTGCATACAGAATGCCTTTGTGAGCGTGTAAGCTGCTGATGTTTGATGGTGACAAAGGTTTTTGAGGGCAAATACTGCTGCCACCTATCATGGAGAAGAACGCTTGGTAGAGGAGTCATAGTTACTTGGTATGTAAATTCAGAGACACTTGGATGTTCTTAATGTCAGGTTAGTTAATTTTGTTTATGACTTACTTTCTTTTTTTAAAAAAATAATTTATTATTTTTAATTTGCTATAGGGCACATGTGCTCACCAAAGAGAGACAGAGAGAGAGAGAGAAAATGAGAAAGCAAGAGAAAGAGAGAGAGAAAATGAGAATGCAAGCCACCTGGACTGGCACTCAAACCATGGTGGGCCATATGGGAGTCTAGTACCTTAACCACCATGCCATCTGCTGGCCCAGAAGACTTCCTTTCTAAGTTCACCCCTTTGCTTTTAGATCTGAAATAGAGTTTTGAAAAAAAAAAAAAAAAGAAAAAAAGCTTAAGAACTTAATTTTTAAATATAATTTAAAGTTTATTTAATTTCTTTTATGAGAGATATTGAAAGAGTACATGAGAAAGCACATATACTCATGAGCATGTGAGAGAGAGAGAAAGAGGGAGAGAAAGAGACAGATACTCTTTTTTTTTTTTTTTTTTTTTGGGGGGGGGGGGGTTTTTTTTTTAGGGCGGCGGCGCAGAAAGAGAGAGACAGAGAGACAGAAAGCGAGAAATCACCCCCGAGAGAGGATGGCCATGCCGCAATCCCTTCTCCTCCATTCTCCTCTCAGGATCTTGGGCACGCACACATGCGTGCCTGGTGTGAGTTTAAGCCACCGTGGTCAGCTGCATGGGAGTCCAGCAACATAGCCATTATGCTAACTGCTGGTCCCAAGACAGGTACTCTTGAAGGGTTTCCTCAGCCTCACAGCTGTTCGGATCTTGGGTGTGCATGTAAATGCTTGGCATGTTTTGGGTCCCCTTGGGATCCAAACCCAGGTCAGCCACTTCCAGCACTGCAGATCAATATGCACCACTGAGCTTATTTGAAAATATTTGAGCAAAATAGGGACCAGCAGACGGTGTAATGGTTATGTCCCTGGACTCCCACACAGTCAACTGCAATTTGAGTCCCAGACCTGGTGACTTAAAACTTACGCCTAGCACGTATTCATGTGTGCCCAGAAACTCGAGGAGAGAATGGAGGAGAAAGGATTGCAGTGTGGACATGCCCTGTGGGAGCTGATTTCTCTCTTTCTGTCTCTGTCTCTCTTTGTCTCCCTCTGTCTCTCCAGTGAGCTCACTCGTCCTACAGCAAAAATCTCTCAAAAAAAAGAAAGAAAATATTTGAACAAAATAATAACTGTAGCCTTTTTATTTCTATACAATGCGTAGCATTAAACTGATTATTTTTATAATAGATAACGAATGACTGATGTTTGTTTATACATTTTTTTCAGTTCAATATGGAAATGCATAGTTAAGAAGTCTATTAATAGAAGCAGAATTGTTCATTTGTTTTGCATTTTGATTACATTTAGTAATTTGGAATGCTGATTTTTAAAGACAGATATGGCTTAGTGTGGGATTACTTTCCTCTTTTGGCCCATTTTATTCTCTACAGTGCTTTGCACTGACTTCCTATTGCAGAGCAGGTCCCTGAAGTAACAGAGAAGGAAGAGAAATTAACTCCAAATTTCATTGGTTTATTTTCTGTGTGATTTTTTTTTTTATATTCTTGTTTTTTATTCCCACAGAGATTTTTGCTATATATATATATATGTATGTATTTTCTTAAAGCCTTTTTTTTCTTTCTTTCTTTCTTCTTTTTTTTAACGATTGAGAGCCAGGTGGCTGGGCATCTAAAATGGGTGGGCCCTGAGGGTGGTGTGAAGATGGGTGGTGGGATACTGCTGAGGTGAGTTATTTTGAATTTCCATAGCTTTAAGTAAGATTTGATGAATGTGTCTTTTTTGGCTAGAGGGTGTGTGTGCTCTCTTTAGAGAGACAGAGAAACAGAGAAGGGGGGGAGAAAACACCTTTCAATGGGGCACAGTCGTGCTTCAGTCCTTTTTCCTCCATTTTTTTTTTTCTTTTTTCTTTTTTTTTGACTTTTTCCTCCATTTTTCATCCCCAGTGTTTTGGGCATGCAGGTGCATGGCTTGGCATGTTTTTCAAGCTGCCACAGCTGGGATTTGACCTGTGTGGTTGGCCAGATGGGATGTGGCTCCCTTAACAATCAGGCCATGGAGCCAGCCTGAATATCTCCTTTAAAGTACAACACAGACTGTGTGTGATGTCTCTGAAATGATTAATTAGCACTCTGTCATCTTGCCACTGGGTCCAGGACTCGAACTGTGGTTGACTATATGGGAGTCCAGCGACATAGCCATTACGCCAACTGCTGGTCCTGCTGCTGAATTTTCTGATGGCCCTAACAGGAAATACAACCAGTCTTTTATTATACTCCAAATTTCTTAAATATATATTTTTCTATTACTGAAAAGGAATTTCCTGCACAGAATCTTCTGAAATGCGATGTTGTGGGTGGTGGTGGTAGTGAGTTAACTCGGTCTCTGAACTGTTGGCTCTCAGGGCAGCTCAGAGCACTCTTGTCATAAAAGTGACGCTGACTTATCTTTAGATCGTTATCCAACTGGAAATGTGATCACTTAGGAAGGGACAGAATTACGGGCCATGGCTTGCAATGAACCTTTTATCAACGCTAGATGTTCCCGATTATTGTGTTACTATTTTCATTGCACATTGCCAATTCTGGATTTCATTCTTTTTATTACAATGCAGAGAGAAAAGGAGCAGCAGGAAGAAAAAAGGAGCCTGGGGAAGATTGAAGATGATGAAAGAAGAGCTATGATAACTCCTGCTCTCCGAGAAGCTCTTACTAAACAAGGTGAACATCCTCGAGACTTGTTAAGTTTACTACACTCTTAAGCATTCTAATTTAATACCTAAGAGAGGAAGCACAAAATAGGGATTGCTAGGAGGAAAAAGGGTAATGAATTCTCTCTCGTTAGCTCGGCAGCTGTGTTATAGTAGCAGATGTAGCTGCCTAAAGATTTACCCTCTTTTATGGCTCACCTGTGTGTTGGCCACCTGGACCAGCAAATACCCTCTTTGCTTGGTTTATTGGGATGTAACTATCATTGTGGCTCATGTATACAGATAGGAAAGGCTGTCTATCCCTGGCCTCTTTGCAAATCAGTTTATTAAGGGGAAACTATTAAATGCAGATAAAAAGCGTACATGTTATACTGCAGGGTTAATTAGAAGTGTTTTATGTAGAAGTACCATATCTGGTTTTTTTTTGGTCATACCTTATTAAGGAGGCTGTAGCTGGATGAATAAGAATATTAGTTTCCTGTGAAAGACAGAAGAGTGAATTATGAGTCAGTAGACTGACCTCATTCCCTTCTTCTCTCATTCCTCCCCCTCCACATTTATGGAAGACCTTTTATGCGAGTCCGACAATGCAGGGATAGGATACAAAATCTCTTTCAAGGAACTATCAAGTTGGTAGAGGAGGCAGATAAATATGAATATATAATATATATAATTTGCCTTCTAAATGAGATAAGCTTTTTATATTAAAGTGATTTTATGATGGATTTACATCTATCATATTTTTATTTTTATTTTATTTAATTTATTTACTTATTATTTTGGAGAGGTTTTTGCTATAGGGTACATGTGCTCACCAGAAAGACAGACAGAGACATAGAGACAGAAAGCGAGAAATCATGCCCCGGGGGGATGGCCATGCCACAATCCCTTCTCCATTCTCTTCTTGGGATCTTTGGCACACATGCATGCTTGCCTGGCGTGAGTTTAAGCCAGTGGGTCTGGACTCGAACCGTGGTTGATTACATGGGAATCCAGCGACGTAGCCATTTTGCCAACTGCTGGTCTCTATTTTATTTTAAATAATTGTTTTTAAAATTTAACTATTTATTTATTTTTAATTTGACCAGAGAGGGACAGAGTGAGTGAGTGAGAGAGAGAGTGAGAGAGACGAGAGGGAGGGAAGGAAAGTGAGAAAACAAGCTACCTGATTCAGGACTCAAACTGTGCACCACCTGCAGGCCCCTTACTCTTTATTTTCTACTCATCTCATCTGTTATTTGATTTTCTTTTTCCTTTTCTTCTTCCTTCTTTGGATTAATTGAATCTTTTATGTCTTTGTGAATGTATTGGCTATAACACATTTGTTATTTAGTGGTTGCTTGAGTTTTTATGCTGTACCTGGTGGTGTATCACTTCCTAGTTAATTAGAAGTTGTAAAGTTCTACATATCTTATAAACCCTGCATCACACTGTTACTATTTTAGTTTAAACAATTATCTATTAAAGATTTACATGATTGGGGCCAGCAGGTGGCAGTGTTTAAGGCTCTGGAGTCTCACATGGCTGATTGTGGTTTGAGTCTTGGACCTGGTGACTTGAAAATCATACTGAGGACGTGTGTGTTCATGCCCCAGATCTCAGGAGGAGAATGGAGGGGAAGGGATTGCAGTGTAGCCATCTCTCCTGGGGTTGATTTCTCACTTTCCTTCTCACTGTCTCTCTCTGGCGAGTGCATGCGCCCCTATGACAAAAACAAAAACAAAACAAAACAAACAAAAAAAGATTTACATGATTAAGCAGAATCTTATATATTTATTCATATATCAGTAGTAACCACTTTCTGTGCTCTTTTGTTCTTGTGTTCTATCTCGTATCCTTTTCCTTTGCCAGAAGGACTTCTTTTCAACATTTCCTGTAGTGTGGAGTTTGTTGGTGATGAATTATTTTTCTGAAAAAGGCTTTGTTTTGCATTCATTTTGAAGGACATTTTCTGTGGCTTATAGGATTGTAGGCTGACGGCTTTCTTCTTTCTCATGTTAAAGACATTGCTCCACTGTCCTGCTCACATTGCTTCTGACGAGAGCTGGGCAGTCAGTCATCCTGCCATTTGTTTTGGACTTCAGCTCTCCTTCCCAGTTTTAAGATTTTTCTCTTCATTACTGATTTCAATCAATTTATAATGTGCCTCATTGTGGTGTTCTTCATGTTTCTCTTACTTGGATTTCACTGAGCTTCTTGGTTTTGTGGATTTACAGTTTTTATCAAATTTGGACACATTTTGACCATTTATTTCTTCAAATATTTGTCTGCCTCCCTCTCTCCTCGGGGACTACAATTACATGTATAATGGGTTGCTTGAATTTGACCCACAGTTCACTGATGTTCTTCAGTTTTTGAATTTTTTTTCTGTCTTTTCATTTTGGTTAGTTCCTATTGCTGTGTTTTTAAGTTCAGTAATTGCTTCTTCTCTAATATCTAACCTTTCATTAATCCCATCTAGAGCATTTTTCAATTTAGACATAATTTTCATCACCAAAAGTGTATTTTGGACCTTTTTATATCTTCTGTGTCTCTTATCTTTTTTGAGTCTATGGACTATAGTTGTAACTGTGTTAATGTCCTCACCTGCTAATATCTATCCTATGTCATTTCTGGGTCAGTTTTGGTTGATGGATTATTTTCTTCATTTGTTTGTTTTCCTACCTGTTTGCATGCCTGGTAATCTTTGACTGAAAGTCAAAACTAATTTTCCCTTTTCAGGTGCTGGGTTTTTTTTTTTTTTTTTTTTTTTAGATGTTTTTGCTATAGGGCGCGTGCACTCACCAGAAAGACAGAGAGAGACAGAAAGACAGAAAGCAAGAAATCACCCCTCAGGGGGAATGGCCATGCCACAATCCCTTCTCCTCCATTCTCTTTTTGGGATCTTGAGCATGCACACACATGCGCCTGGTGTGAGTTTAAGCCACCGGGTCCAGGACTTGAACTGTAGTCAACTACATGGGAGTCCAGTGACATAGCCATTATGCTAACTGCTGGTCCCAGGTTCTGGGTATTTTTGTATAAACACTCATAAACATATATGAGCTTTTTTGTGGGACAAAGATAAGTTTTTCAGTCCTGTAAACTCTGCCCACTTTAATCTCCCTAGATTTCCAGCTCCATTTTCTCAATTCAGACAGTCAAGCTGGACTTTGCTTGGGTTGTCTGCCCTTGCTGCATGGCCTAGAAAATTTGAAGAGTAATAAGCTGGAGCAAAGAGTAGGGCTAAGCTTATTTGTTTCCCATCTTTCTGGGATTGCTACCCTTTGTTACCTGATGTATTGTGTCCTGAAAACTCATTTCCTATATTTTGTTTTTTGGTATTCCAGGTAAGGTAAGAGAGTATCTTCTTGCTATTACTTCATCTTGGTTGGAAGCAGAAGCCATCCTTCCTTCCTTCCCTCCTTCCTTCCTTTCTACCTTCCTTCCTTCCCTCCTTCCTTCCTTTCTTTGGCTATAGGATGCATATGCTCGCGAGAGAGACAGAAAGTGAGAAATCACTCCCAGGGTGGATGGCCATGCCGTAATCTTTTCTCCTCCATTGTCTTCTCAGGATTTGGGCCATGTACGCACATATGCCTGGCATGAGTTTCAAACTACCGGGTCTGGGACTCAAACTGTAGTCAACTATGTGGGAGTCAGCACCTTAATCACTTTAATAGTTCTTTTTTTTTTTTTTTTAAGTTTATTTACTTTTTCTATGAGTCAAAGAGACAGATAGGGACACACACACACACACACACACAATGATACAGCATTTGATAGGGTCTTGATACCATGATCCATCCCTAGCTCCAGGCAGGCTGGATCATGTGTACATGCATGCTTGACATACTTATGGAAGTTTCTGGATGTGAACTGGCAACCTTCCCACATGGGTCTCTCTCATAGAGAGTTGCATTTACTGCTACACCACCATCAGGGCCCCAAAGCAGAATTCTTTACTATGATTTTTAGCAGCTGTTGGATTATCTTGATGTTGTACTCAACTATAGTTCTCTCTCCTTCCGAAATACGTGTGTTTTTCATACCTAAATGGAAAATTTTATGGACCTTCTGTATCTTGGAAGAGAATGATATAAAGAGCTATTATATGTAGCAGTGCATGATGTCTGTGGTAGTGTTATGAACAACATAATATGGGAATCCAAGAAAAGAACTAGAATTTTCTTCAGGAATCTTTTACTTACTTATGATGTATCAGAGATACCCAGACTCAGTTCCATCTTTAAGTAGATAAACTGTGCTTTACTTATTTATATGCGAGATGTTTACATAAATGTGGAAGAGGATAAACGACGAAGCCCTGTAAATGTTGCCAATCGAGAATTGTCATCCGCACTGACATTGTTCTGTTTATCATTACACTGTGAATATGGCCGTTTAGCCCCGCTGATCCCCTTGTAACAGCATCTAGACTGCGTTTCTTCATTTGCCTCATTTGTCTGCAAGTCTTTTTATGCAAGAGAGTCATGCTAATTGTTCACTACTTGAAACCTCTTGAGAAACTTTATTTAATGCTTTCTGAAATTGGAATGTTCTACTTGTTTGGTTTATTGGTTTGTTAAAAAAGGAATTACTTTGGCATGGCTTTTTTTTTTTTTTTAATGCTTTTTGTGTCTTAGGTGGCACAACATTTTTAAATGGTAGCTTGTGGAGTGATACCGGAAATTCACATTAAATTGTGGTTCCTAGAATTTGATAAGTGCCTTTTTTTTTCTTTTTTTTGAGAGGCTTTTGCTATTAGGGCGTGTGCGCTCGCCAGACAGACAGAGACAGAGAGACAGAAAGCGAGAAATCAACCCCCAGGGGGTATGGCCACGCTGCAATCCCTTCTCCTTTGTACTTCTCTTGGGATCTTGGGCATGCACGCACACGCGTCCGGTGTGAGTTTTAAGCCACTGGGTCTGGGATGCGAACCGCGGTCGACCACATGGGAGCCATTATCCTAACTACTGGCCCCGATATACTGCCTTTGTCTCAGGATTTCTTTTAATTTGCTGTTGTCCATTTGAATCTTCATCTGTTTTGAGAGAGTACTGATGATAGTTTCCCAGTCATTTGTTGGAAATATATCATTCACTTTTGCTCTCGTTATAAATGTTCTAGTGGCCTTTTCTTTTCTTTTCCTTTTTTAGTTATAGGGTGCGTGTGCTCGCCAGACAGGCAGAGAGAGACAGAGGGACAGAAAGCGAGAAATCATCCCCCGGGGGGATGGCTACGCCACAATTCCTTCTCCTCCATTCTCCTCTTGGGATCTTGGGCACGCACACACATGTGCCCAGCATGAGTTTTAAGCCACCGGGTCCAGGACTCGAGCCGCAGTCGACTACATGGGAGTCCAGCGACATAACCATTATGCCAACTGCTGGTCCCCCAGAGGTCTTTGAAAAGAATATGTATTCTGTAGTTGAGCACAGGGCTCAACATATGTCCTTGGTCAAGTGTGTATGTTCTTGTGTTGCTCAGATCTTGTAGACCTTTACCTTTACTGTGTTGGCCTATAAGATTTGTGAGATATTGAGAGGGTTAAAACCTCTCTGTGTAATTTTGGATTACGTTATTATTTCTTTTTGGATTTTGAGTCTATGTTATTAGATGCATATCCATTTTAAATTGATTTTTGATCCTGACGAATTAAAACTTTTAATATTTTCTGCTATAGCATTGATGGTTATAATTTAAGCCAAGAAAACTGATTTTGCTAAATTTTAATACCGCCTTTTAAAAATGAGGCTTTGGATCAGTTCAGTTTTGTGTTTCCTGTTTTTTTCATTCAGGTTATCAATTGATTGGGAGCCACTCTGGAGTGAAGCTTTGCAGGTGGACAAAGGTATTTATTTGTTTTTAATCAAATGTTATTTCTGTTATGTGCAACTTTTGCATGGCAGTTGCATGTAGTTCGTATGTTTAGAAGTTGAAGGTTTAATTTACATTTAATGAAATGCACAGAGTTTCGAGTGAATTTTAAAAATGAATTCATCAAGTTTTAAGGGATATAGAACTCACATTCACCAACTCAGTTAAGATATCAACTATTTTCTTCATTCTAGTACATTTATTATACTCAGGCTGTTTCTAGTTAACACCTCTCTCTCCTCAGGCAAGCTTGCTATTGTTACTTATTTTCGCCTTGCTAGAATTTCATATGAATGGAATCATATGAGGGGACTATAAAAAGGGAACAATAGAATTAAAATACGTGTATTTTTAGGTCTACCAGGTGGTATGGTGGTTAAGGTGCTGGATCCCACATGGCCAACTGAACAGTTTGATACCGGACTTCACAGATGGAAAAACATGCTGGGCACGTGTGTGTGCCCAAAATCCCAAGAGGAGAATGGAGGAGAAGGGATTGTGGTGTGGCCATCGCCCCGAGGAATGATTTCTCATTTTCCCTCTCTCTCTGACAGGCACATGCACCCTATAGCAAAAAACTTAAAAAAAATTTTTTTTTGATGCTAAAAAATTTTGAAATACAGGTCCAGCCCAAGGCATAATGGTTAAGGTGGCTGAATCCCACATGGCTGACTGTGTGGTTCAAGTCCTGGGCTGACAGCTTGAAAAAACATGCATGCTATGTGTGCGTGTTTGCTCAAAACCTCAGAAGGAGAAATGGAGGAGGGAAGGCAGCGTCATCATCCCCCATGGTGGGGTGTGTTTCTTTTCTTCTCTCTGTCTCTAAAGAGGGTACCCAGTCTGTGGTAACATTTAAACATTTTTTTTTGAAATCTATACACTTTTTCTTTACTCATGGTAGAACATGACTGCATGCCTCCAAGAGTGAGGAAGAGAAACGCCTTCCACAGGGTCCAGTCGTACTGTGGTCCCCTTCCTCTGGTCGTCTAGTTGGGTGGGTACTAGGCACTCACGGGTGTGCCCGGCATATTTCAGGCTGAGCAGACCAGGGATTCAAACCACGGTTACCATGTGGGAGCTAACATCTCTTGAGCAGCACATTACCACTGTGCCACAGAGCCAGCCTCATAGTTTTTTCATAGTATGCATTTTCATGAACGTTTGGAAGACCTGTTGTATAACGTATAGTCTTTTGTGAATGGCTTCTTAAAGTCAACATGTTACTGAGATGCCTTGGCATTGTAGCGTGTATCAGCAGTTCATTCATGTTTATTACTCAGTCTTAACTCCATTGTATGTAGGATAGGCCAGCTTTTTGATCTCTTGATAAATATTAGTCTGTTTTCAACTTTTGGCTTTTATGCACAACAGTGCTGTGAACATTCTTTCATAAAACTTTTCGTGAGGCTGGCCCTATGACCTAGTGGTTCAGGCAACGGGGTCCCATATGGCTGACCTCACAGTTCGAGTCAACCCCAGCAGCCTGAAAAACACACCAGGCTCCTGTGTGTGCACGTGTGCCCACACCATGTAGGTTGGGAAAACCACCCAGATGACTGACAGAGTGTGAGATAATAAACATAAAAGGAAGACCTGCGGCAAATTAAGTCAAGAAAAAGAGTTTATTTGGGTCAGGATTAGGACAGTCACCCAGACACCACAAAATTCAAGTTACCTTGAATAATGTGTGCTGTGATTTTGCGGATTTCAGAGTGATTTTAAAGGCAAGAGTGATGAATGGGGACAAGATGACATAATTATTAGTCCAAGTTTTACACTGGTCAGTACTGTAGTAAGGAGACTTGTACAGCAGTGATTGGCTGAATGATAAGGGGAGCAGGGTGACTTCATAGTCATTTAAGGCCATCGTGGAAGTCAGTGAGTCTGGCACATTGTTGAAACTACCAGATAAGCGTAAGAGAAGAATTTATTTGGTCAGTAGGGATGTCCATCATCTAAAAAGCCCACCAATTATTTATTTATTTATTTTTAAAGAGAGGTTTTAGCTATAGGGCACGTGTGCTCGCTGGAGAGACAGAGCGATAGAAAGTGAGAAATCACCCCCCACGGGGGATGGCCATGCCGTAATCCCTTCTCCTCCATTCTCCTCTTGGGATCTTAAGCACGCACGCGGCGGGAGTTTTAAGCCACCGTGTCCGGGACGCGAACTGCGGTCGACTACATGGGAGTCCAGCAACATAGCCATTATGCTAACTGCTGGTTCCCACCATTTCTATTTTGTAACCCTCTGTCATCTGGGTGGGAACCTGTGGAGTAGGAGGTTCTTTCAGCCAGAAAAGGAAGACGTGAAAGGTATCAATGGAGGACTTGATGCTGTTTGATGAAGTCACTTAATTTAATTGATAGTCTATCTTCTCATCCTTACCATCGCAGTGTCCAAATCTAGAAAATAAATATCTGTTTACTACAAGTATGTATAACATGTATTTGCAATGCATATCCATATGTATATAGTGTGCATATTTTTATATAGCATATATTATTTAGATACTGTGATATACTAAGACATATATATTTGACTTTGTTCTTGGTTCCTGACACAAGAGTTTCTAAAACTTTTTGCCATTCATAATGTCTTTTGCTATTCATAATGTCTTTTCAGCTCTTCTTGAGTTTTGCTTCCTGACTTTTGGTGGGGCTTTCAATGTCTTGAGAGATGGAGAGCCTTAACGTGTGCTAACTCTTGAAAATTAGTATCAGAATCAAATTGCAATTTGTTGGATACCCAGTTTGTGTCCCAGAGTTGTATGAGAAAAACCCACATTTGGTTTGGGAAGCGCCAGGAGTGAATAACAGTTGTCAACCTAGACAGAAACACTGAGGTACAGTAAGAGAATTGAAATTGGTGTATTTGAGCCTGGGCTTTATTTGTTGCTTGGGTGATACAAATTGCAGATGCCTAAAATGTGTGGTCCAGGACTGGCCTGTGCAAAGCAGGTTTTGTAATGACGAGAAGGGCAAGAAGGAGGGAGGTTACAAGTTCTTTGGCAAGAATTCACATTGGTCCATTCTGAAACACAGATGAAGGGTTGGCTGTACTCACTCTTCACATCAGGACTGAAGTATGCCTTCAAACAATTGGTACGGGCGTAACCAGAGTCTCAAGCTCATGCCTCACCCAGGCCAATAATTTAAGTGGGCCTGGCATTGCAGACTCTTCTGACTGCGTTTTTCCCTCATAGTTCTTAATCACAGATAGCCCCTTTACTTTTCACTGTGATTGTGGCTTTACTACTGTTGATTAACTGTGGTAAAATACAAACCTCACAAGGACTACCTAAGTCACATGTGACAGAGTAGGGAAATGGCAATGTGGCCACATCACACCACTGTCAGCCTTTCAGCAAATACTGAATGTTTTCTGTGTGCCTGGTAATCATGTGGAAGGCGGTTGATTGCCTTTGGTGAATTTATATTGCAGCTTGGTGAAAGGGTCCTTCTCCTGTCTTTACGTTGTATCTCTTGCACGGTGTATTTTCCCTGCACCCCTAAGTAAAACTTCAGTAAACTCAAACAAGGATCGGAAGTTGATTTCATAATAGTTGCTTTGTGTCCTTGCTGATTTTCTGTCTACTTGTTTTAATTTAACTCAGAGGGGTTGATAAAGACTCTTAATTGTGGATTTCTCCATTTCTCATCTCAGATCTAACTTTTGCTACATTTATTTTGAATCTATGATGTTAGATACATTCTCATTTAATATTGGTATGTCATTTTGGTGATCCTACCGCTTTATTATTATGGAGTGTCCTTTATTTTATTTTATTTTATTTTTTTTATTTTTTCAATTTGCCGTAGGGCATGTGTGCTTGCTGGAGAGAGAGAGAGAGCCAGTGAGAGCGAGAAGAGTGCCTGCAAGCCTTCTCCCGCCCCCCCAAGGGGATGATCATGCCGTTATCCCCTCTCCTCTACTCTCCTCTTGAGATTTTGGGCAGGCAAGCACATGTGCCCTGTGTGTTTTTCAAGCTGCTGAGTCTGGGACTCAAACCAATCAGTCATACATGTGGAATCCAGCCACTGTAACCACCACATCACTGGCTGGCCCTGTGTCCCTATTTTTCTATAGCAAAGGTCTCTATTTAGTAGTTTACTGTGTCCGATATTAACATGGCCATTCCAGCTTTCTTTTGGTTAATGTTTGCATATTATACTTTTTGCTATCCTTCTGTTTTAACTGTTTTTGTCTTCTGCTGGCTTTTTTCTTCTGAGAATATCTTTGCTTTCATATCTGAGGCATATATATATATATATAATTCTGGACTGATAATATATATTTTTTCTTTTTTTTTTTTTTTTTTTTTTTTTGAGAGTTTTTTTCGCTATAGGGCACGTGCGTCCGCCAGACAGACAGAGACAGAGAGACAGAAAGCGAGAAATCACCCCCCAGGGGGGATGGTCACGCCGCAATCCCTTCTCCTCCATTCTCTCGGGATCTTGGGCATGCGCGCACACGTGCCCGGCGTGAGTTTTAAGCCACCGGGTCTGGGACGCGAACTGTGGTCGACTACGTGGGAGTCCAGCGACATAGCCATTACGCTAACTGCTGGTTCCCTATATATTTTTTTCATTTTTGCCAAAGAGCTCATGTACTTGCTAAAGAGAGGCAGAGAGTGAGTGAGAGGGAAAGCCAGATGGCACCCCTATGGGGAATGGTCACACTGCAATCCTGTACTCCTCCACCTCTCCCTCCTTTTGGGATTTTGAGCACTCAGGTGCGTTTGCCCGGGGTATTTCTCAAGCCACTGGGTCCAGCCCTCCAACTACGCAGTTGGCTGTATGGGATCCAGCTTTGTTAACCACCATGCCACTGGCTGGTCCAACAATTCTTTTCTTTGAGCATTTTAAAGATGCTGCTCTGTTCTTTCGGCCTTTGTGGTTTCTGATGAGAAATTCTCATTTATTCATATCATTGTTCCCTTACAGTGAGTTCTGCCAGAACCTGACATATGTGTT